CCGGGCCAAGCTGCTTAATGTGGGCTTCCTAGAGGCATTGAAGGAAGACGCATCTTATGACTGCTTCATCTTCAGCGACGTCGACCTGGTTCCCATGGACGACCGCAACCTGTACCGCTGTGGTGACCAGCCTCGCCACTTTGCTATTGCCATGGACAAATTTGGCTTCCGGTGAGGGCTGTGTTCTTAATTAGACTGAACACTCCTCACCTTCAGCCCCACTGCTCCAGCTACCCTCAACACACCCAGACCATCATTCTCAGCCCTAGGGTCCACTTTTGCTCCTACACCATACCCTTTGAGCTGAACCCTTGCTGGCATTCTCTGTTGTATGTTCTCTCCTCACACCATCTGTGATCCTCTTGGTATGCCCTGAAGCCCTCACTGATGCCTGCTTTTCATGTTGTAGGCTGCCCTATGCCAGCTACTTTGGAGGTGTGTCAGGCCTGAGTAAAGCCCAGTTTTTAAGAATCAATGGCTTCCCCAACGAATACTGGGGCTGGGGTGGTGAGGATGACGACATCTTCAACCGGTGAGTTGGGTGGGCGTGGAGAGCAGGCTGGGTGTGCGAAGGGGTGAGGTACAGACTGGGCAGGGCACCTTGCCCTTCCTGGTGCCTGTTCCAGTCCATCTGTCCCTGTCCCCAGGATCTCCCTGACTGGGATGAAGATCTCGCGCCCAGACATCCGAATAGGCCGCTACCGCATGATCAAGCACGATCGGGACAAGCATAACGAGCCCAACCCTCAGAGGTGACCCCCCAGTTCCTTCACCCCAGGTGCCCCAAGTTCCTTACCCCTAGAAGTGACCTCCCGGTGTATCTAGTTCTTGATCTCAAGTGTCCCCCAATCTGAACCTCCTGGAGGGAATCCATATCCTTAGAGGTGACTTCTCAGCACTCCTGATCCTAGTGCCAGTGACACCCGACCAGTGATCTTGACCCTTGACTCCTAAAAGTGGCCTCTGGTACTCTTAAATCTTGTTCCCAGAGAAAATTGCCTTCTCATTCATTGGTGCCTTCTCAGACTCAACTATAAATCTTCAAGAACCTTGTATATAGTGGCCCTCCCAGAGTGGGTATGATGAGAGAGTGGGCATTGAGCACACCTCCTGGACCAAAGGACATTGACAGCTTTTGCCCAGGCAGTGTGGAGTAGGGAGTGGACAGATGTGGTGACCCTTTGATAGGAGGGGGTGGCAGAACATATAACAGCATTTATAAGATATAGCAGGTCTCTGGTTGGGCAAAGAACCTGAAAGACCTGTGAAGTAGAGACATGGACTTCCTGACTTGTTGTGTGCCTACTGGGTGCCAGGCCTTGTGGGGAGGGGAGGGACCCAGAGTGGTCATTCCCTAACCTTCTATCCCTTATGCAGTTTATTCAAGAAAAGATGGAGAGAGAGTTACAGCACAAGATCATCAAGGCAGGGTGCTCTCTTGGCAGAAGAAGAACTGTTAGGGGGGAAGCTTCCTAGGGGAGGTGATAGTAAACTGGAGTTGGAAAATTCAGCTCATATTTGTCATATAACATCGTGTGAATGGAAACCTGTTTGGATAAAGAGTATAGTATTCCAATAAGCTGGAGTATGATCATGACTTGCATATGCCAAGATTATGAAAGAGTTTGGTTTTAAAAAGTCTGGGAGTAACAGGAGAGGGGTCAGGGCTGGGTGGTCGGAATCCTGGCATGTAAGGTTGATTTTTGTCCCAGGGGCCGGGGAAGTTGTGAAGGGCCTCACACAGGGGGAAGACATATTTAGATTTGTGTTTAGAAGGATTGTTCTTTGAACTTGAGGAAGGTGAAGGTCTGGTCTAGTTGCTGACAGAGCAGGAAAAGCAGCAGACCAGATCTAAAAGGAAATGAACAAAGTGCTAGAGAGATGCTCAGTAGGGGCTTGGGAGGCTGCTGGGCCTCCAGCTTGAACAGTAGGGTTTCTCTGCTTTCAACCCAGGGTGCAGGAGTGGGGAGTTAGATTGCAGTACTAATGTAGGGTTGGTGTTTGCCAGAAGCATGAGAAGCACAGGGGAATTCAGGGAGTTGAAGAAAACGTTTGAGAGGAAAACCGTTTTGGAGCAGGGAGGGTAGACAGGCTGGGAGACAATAGGGTTCAGGGCATCAGAGGGTGGGTATGCAGTACTGGGATGGCTCAGGAGAGGGGCAGGAGGATAGAAATGATCCAGACATTGGCAATGAGCTCTCTCTCAAAGTACATGTCTGGAGTGTTGGTCCTGTGGCAGGAATAGCAGGTCTGGGTGCTGTCATCCATGGGTGTCTGCCATGGCTGTAGAAATGGCAGTCGCCTTCAGTTTCTAGCTTGAGGAGTGCTGTGAGTTCCATCTGCCCTGGTGCCTTTGCCTCCTAGGGGTTCTCCTGGATTCTCCCCTACTCCAACATGTCTAGTCCACAGTGAGTCGTGTTGGTGCCACCCAACTCCAAAACATCTGCACTTACCCCCCCGTTCTCCTTTAGTCTAAACACCATGATCTTGCCGGGACTACTATTGCAAAGCCTCTAACAGGTTTCCCAGCTTCCTTCCTGCGTTACTATACGCCAAACCTCCAAATGGACTTAAAAACTCCCAACTGGGTTAAAAATCCCTCTGTCATCTAGCAGAATAGAATGTTAACTTTTTATTCTTACAGAGCTCTGCCTATATCCACACTTAACCTCCAGGCTCTTCTTGGGGTTTTGCCCCTTTTGGTCCATTAGCCTCTAGCCACACTAACCCCTTCAACTGTGCAAAATCTCATTTCTCATTTGGGGTCTTCAAATGTGCTCTCTGCCTGGAATCTCTCCCCTGGTTCTAAACTTGATATCATGTCTGAATGAATCCCTTCCAAACAGCCATCTTAGCACTCTTAATCATAGCTGTCAGTTGTGTCTGGCTGTGGGCTCAGGGTTTCCTGGTTTGCTACCTGTCTGCCTTAGTGAAGTAGACTTGTCATGAGAGAAGAGTCTTGCCTGTCTGTGCATGGCTGTTTCTCTGGTGCTGTGAGCAGATCCTGGCGTAAGGAATGCTCAGTAAGTAGATGGTGAAGGAGTGACAAGGATGAGGAAGTGAGAAGATGTTATGGGTTTAGGGAAGATGCATCTCATATAGGAGATGTTGCACCTGGGCTACCTAGGGAATGCCCCAGGTCTGGATCTAAGGCTTGAGGAAGTCTGAACTGAGAGATTTGTGAGGGTGTCACAATTCTGTTTGCTGGAGGTAAATGACTGAAGGGTGAGATCTGCTTTTTAAGGGCACATGGAAGTAGAAAGTGCCCCATGCAGGTGGAAGGAGGAAGATGGGGTGAGAAGAATCAAATCACCCCTAGAATGACATTTAGGTCTGGCCCCAGAGGTTCCACATTCAGTATTGGGTTTAGTGGTTAGCTGTGTGGGTAGCTGTATCCCCACGCCAGCCCTCACTCAATCAACTTGTATCCTGCCTAGGTTTACCAAGATTCAGAACACCAAGCTGACCATGAAGCGGGATGGCATTGGATCTGTGCGCTACCAGGTCTTGGAGGTGTCTCGGCAACCACTCTTCACCAACATCACAGTAGACATTGGGCGCCCTCCATCATGGCCCCCTCGGGGTTGACACCAGTAGACAGAGGACTACCTGCCCAAGGACTGACTTACAGCCTGGCTGGTGGCTGAGAGGGTGCTTGGGGGAGACCTCAGGACTGAAACTGTGGGCCCTACTTTCTGAAGGGCTTCAAAAGGCCCCTCAGCTGCACCTGGAAGTTTCAGAACCCACTTTGAGGGGGTCTTCTGGCCTGGGCTAGCCCCTCAGTGTGGCCCGCTAAGGGGTCAACTCTCTCCTGCCCCTTCCTTCCAGCCCAGCCCCCCTCACTGTCAGGGTCGGGCCAGCCCCAGCACTGCCTCGTTGAGTGGCCTGGGCTAGGTCACTCCACCTCTCTGTGCCTCAATTTCCCCCCACCTTGAGTCCCCTAGGGCCTGGAAGGGAGGGAGGTTTGACTAGGGGGCGGTATCTCTTCCAGGGGGAATCCTCAGACCTGGGGATCCTCCATGCTCCCAGGGGAGGGGAAACCTTTTTCATTCAACACTGTAGGGGGCAAAATTTGGTGCGCCCCCTTGCTTATGAGGAGCAGCCCCAGGAGGGGATCAGAGGGGGTGCTGTGTCGCTGCCTGGGATCTTGGGGTCAGGCTTTGCATGGGGAGCGGGTGGGACTTGAATCAGCCAGTCAGAATCCCGCCTGTCTCAGAGGAGGCAGTAGCCCCAGGGCCGGCTCGTCTTTGTACATTGCACAGAAACTTGTGTGGGTGCTTTAGTAAAAAACGTGAATGGAGCAGTGCCCTTGTCTGTTTCTAGATGGGGATGTGGGTGTCTGAAAGCAGTTTCCCCGGGTGTATTGTGTGGGAAAGCCCCTGGTCGAACCTGTCGTTAGGGACGCTGTGCCCCTTCCGAGGACCGCCTTGCTGGATTTCCATTGGCCTTAGAGGAAATGCTTTTACAAAGAGCCATCATTTGGGGAAATTTCAAGTCAACGAACTAGAACCAGATTGCTGCTTCTTCCACCTGTACTGCCCGCCCTCCTGAAAGCCCTTGCCCAGGAAATCCCCAGGCTAAGAAGTCAGGGGGAGGCGGTGTCACCCCGAGGGACTGGGCCTTTGGGGTGGCTGGGAGTCTACAGGGGGGAGAGTATTCCCTTCCTCTCCTTGCTCCTAAGGGCATGGGCGGGGCCTCGGGGCGGAGCTCTGGGTTGCCGGGGCGGTTTCCCTGGTGACAGCAGCGCGAAAGGGCGGAGCCACACTGCGCTGCACCCGCTGCGCTGCCGCCGAGGGGCTGGGGGAAGCTGGACCGCAGGGCAGAGCGCTGGAGGCAGCAGGGGGCTCTGGACCTGGTAATTCCGGCCCCTGGGATTGGTGTTCAATGGCGAGAGTGGGACCTGGCCCCTGCTCGTCCAACACACAGCCTCTCCCAATGGGTCCAGCGCTCTGACCTGTCGCCTAGGTCAGCCGCAGGCCTCGTAGCAGCACAGGCAGGCCATGCTCCAGGATCTGTCGCTGTGGCAGCTGGTGGAGGATCATGTTCCACGCCCAGAACGAGCCGAAGTGAAGAGGATCCTTGGGGAAGCGGCTGTAGACCTAAGCCTGGAGCTTTGGGAGGAGGTGGGGAGTTGGAAATGGACCACACTCGTGGCCCATGAGTTGAAAGTCTTCCCCATCTGTTCTCACCCTGCCCGGCAACTCCTAGACCTAGTCTCATTTGTCCCTCTTTCTCCTTGCCAGTGTAATACCTCTCCAATCCATGCCTGTTCCCTTTCCTGGAACAAAATGTCCCAGTGATTCTTGCAGGTGGTGATGCTGCGGGAACTGCTTAAAGATGTGCAAACCTCCCACACCCCTGGCTCCGGTCCTGCCTTAGACCTCTGCTCCCTTCTGGCCCCATCACCCCGCCAAAAGGACCTCGTGCGCCAGGAGCTGAGGCAGCTGCTCCAAGCTCTCCGCCACAAGGCTATACGTGAGGGCAGGTGGGCGCCTCAGACTTCCAGCTAGCCCCTGTCCATGATATGAGTCAGAGTGACCTTTCCCTTTGGACTCCTGGAAGGAGCCCCTCTGCCTCCTTCATGTGCACCCTCTGCAGGGACCAGGCCCAAGCTTGGACCCAGTATAGCCCCAGGGTGGTTCGCTTTGCCTTGGAGGAGCCCAGATGCAATTCACCAAAGCAGGAGATACCTGGAATGAGAGCTGACAAACCCAGGTAAAGTGGTCAGAGAGGAGGGATCAGCTTCAGCGCAGAAGAGCGCTAAGCCACTGGTGGTTCCCCTTTTCCCTCCCTGGATGAGCTTCTGGTTTGGGCCTGGACACTTACAGACCCTGTAGGAGTAGGGGGTCAGATCAGCACCTGAGAGCCACAAGAGCGCAGAGGAGACCCCCCTGCCTAGCGTGAGGACAGGGATTCTGGAGAAAGTAGCTAGTTTGATCTAGGTCAGGAGTATGAAAAAGTCATCTTTGCTTGAAGAGGAAACACTGTATGTAAAATATGATAGGAGGCAGAGGCCTGGCTACTGAACAGTTGGGCAGAGCTGTACTGGAGAGGCAGGGAGAGCTGAGGGGAGATCTTGCAAATGTTATTTACAACCTGTGACTGAATGAGAGAAAAGAATGAGAGCTTGTGGCAATGTTGGTGACACCTTCCTTCTGATTGTCACACAACACTACCAGGTGGATGTTATTCCCATTTTGTAGGCAGAGACATCACTGCTCAGAAAGGATAAATGCCTTTTTTTTTATAAATGCCTTGTTCACACACATTAAAGGGCAGTCAAGCCTATGTAGGCAGAGAACTCCAGCTCTTTAATATTATGTAGCTTTTGTTAGAAAAATTTAACATTGTCTGGGGGAAGTGGTGGTTGTATCCTGAAGGACTGGGTGAGGCCATGCTGGGAAGAGTGATCTGACTTCATCTGCCAGCAGCAGCCACAGGGACCTCAGTGTCATCAGAGATCGACTGAATGTGTCTGACATTGACCAGGTTGCTGGGCACCTGCGGTGAGGCCCAAGGACCCCTGTGTGTGGGGGTGGAAATGGGGAGGATGGGGCTGGGAGTGGATCTTGGACCATGAGAGGCAAGGGAGGAATCATCTGTGGTGGAGTCAGGTGAGTAAGGCCAGGGAGATTCAAAGCAGAATTAGCCAGCTACAGGGGTCAGCAGGGGCCATAGTGTTAGGATGTTTCTTTTGATATAGTAGGGAGTCATATGGGGTTTAAACGGGAAGAAAGGCTGATGTGTGGGGAGAATGGAGGCAGGGAGAGTGCAGTAGTGCAGAAAGGATGGAATCTGCTAGAATGTAGATGTGGGGTGGTCAAGGAGCAGATACGTCTGCACAGGAAGAGGACCGTGATGGCCAGATTGCTGGGCAGCACCCAGGTACCAGAGGACCACATGGACTGAGAAGGGATGCCTGGGGCAACTCCTGATACAGTTGGAGGGAGGGGCTGTGGAGGCCAGGCTGCTCTGCTCAGCTGAGAGTGCTCCATAGCTGGCTGCCCCGCTCCCTCACGTCCCAGGGGTCTCCTGGAAGACGAGAGTCGAACCTTGGAGAGGGAGATCTCCATCCTGCGGGTGAGTTGCAGGCTGGTCTTTTCCTGGGACCTTTCTGCTGAGCACAGAAACACTTGTCTTGTGGGCATGTGAGATCCCTAAGTGTGTGCACAGGTGCATGTGAACACTCCGAGTCCTGGGTCCATTTCTCATGTGTGTGTGTTTTAGCAACTCAGGATTCTGGCTGAATTAATAAATTTAGTGCTAGCACTTTAGAGTAACCTACTGGACTTCTTCTAGTGTGACTGTCTTCACTGTGTCTGGCCTGAGCCTCACCATGCTCAGCTGTTTAGTAGGGCTGGCTTTCTCATGGGAGGGCTGCCCTCAGGGGGGTTGGGATAACATGGGTTCATGGGCCAGCTTCCCAGGGCTGCCATTGTGTTGGGTACCCTGTCCTAGGGATGTGCTCTGCCCCACCCACTCCTGCCTCATGCGGGGCTCTCACACAGCCATACCTGCAGGGCTGCTTGGAACAGGAGCACATGAAGGTTTCCCAGTCCTCCAAAGATGCCCTGGAACCCACCTTGACAGGTGAGCCCCAAGAGTCCTACACTGTGCACACTCTGGGAGGGCTTGGCACGGTGTCTGAAGTATGCATCTCCCCCAGAACTACAGAAACAGAAGAAGGTCATGGAAAAGGATTTGCAGATCCCTATGGGGGCCTCCTCTGTTGCCCCTAGCCCTAGGTAAACCAGAGCAAGTAGATGGCCAGTCAGGGTGGGATGAGGGATTGGGCCACTGACCCCTCACGGCTACTCCTCCTTATTTAGGCAGCAGCCGCTGGGCAAGCCCCTCTCCCTGGACACACAAGCCATGTCCTCCATTCAGGACCCCAGATCCATTTCTTGCCCTCGTGGAATTGCTGGAGTTTTGTCTGGGCCTCCCCAGTGCCATCTGCCTACACCTCCTTCAAAGTGCCACCCCAAACCTCGAGGCTTGGCTGCCACCTGCCGCTGGGGACGGCAGCTCCGATGCAGCGCCAGGAAAGGGCCAGCTCCCCCCGCAGTGTCCGGTGCAGTGCCCCAGGCCCGCACCTGAAGAGCTGGTCTTGATGGAGGCTTCTGCTGCCTCTTAGCTGCCAAGTTCTGATCTTGGATTGGTCCTCACCACCCCCCCCTACGCTGGCTGTTTGACCCTCATGCTATCCCCTTATCTGGGGTTCAGAAGCAGGGAGTCTGTCCCAACCATCAAAACTTTTTCTAATTCTCCCCTCAGCTCCTTACAGTGACCTGTGGGGCAGAGTTCCCATTCCAGCCCTGACTTTTGTCCCCCAGAGGGCCCAGACAGAGTACAGCCACAGCTCAGAGACAGGAATAGAAATTTCATTAAAATCTATGGACTTTAAAATCCTAATGGCGCACGAATGGGCAGGGATGGGTGGTGCACCGTTATTGCTACAGAGGATTAGAGGTGGCTTGGCCAGGACTGTCACTGCACTGAAGGGTACAGAGGACGGACAGACAGACACTGCAGGGGTTGGGGAAGGAGCTCTGACTCTGACCCTTGGAGGGGTTTGGAGGGGCACGTGGGCTGGGGCCATTTGGCACATGAACAGGACAGCACAGTTTGGGAAGACTGGGCCTTTAGCCTGGTGGAGGAGGGCAAAGGGGTATTGTGCAGGGACCCCTTTCCCAGGACTCCGGGCGCAAACTTCCTGCTGGGCAGCCCCGCTCACCCCAGCCCCCCAGAAACAAGTGCTTTGGGCAGGCTGCTGGGTCACAGGTTTCTACTGGCTGGGCCTGACAGCCAGGGCTGGAGAGAGGGGCAGAGACCCCAGAGCAGCCAAGTGAGGTGCAGACAGGCCTGGAAGACAGATTGGGCCCAGGGTTGGAAATGAGGGGTGGCATCCACAGATAATACAATGTTTACAAAAAACAAGTACACAGACAAACAGGCCTGGGCGGCACAACTGACATGTAACACTGCACAGTCCCCAGCCCCTTTAGAAAGATCCAAATTTGCCTGGGCAGAGGCTGGGGACTGCTCTGAGGGTGGGAACACTGGACAGGAAGCTGGATGCCCAAAGGGGCTAGGGGTGGGGGACTCACCAGGATCTTAGCTTAGGGCAGAATGGGAGAAGCCTCTGGGGACCTGGCCTGAGACCCCTCCAAAGTGCTTTGGGGCCCCCAGCACCCTTCCCATCATTCCCATACCCTCACACCATCTTGGCATTCCAAGAACCTGTAAACACTGGGGACACGAGCACGAATGGCCACACTAATAGTAGTGGCCAAAGTGACAGCAGCCGCCCTGGCCAGGGTATAGCAGGGGGCAGGTGAGTGACACCTGTCCACTGCCTGCCCAGTCTCTGTGGTGGGAGCACTGGGTGGGGGTGGGACACTCCCCTTGCAGTTGTGCTCATATCCGGGAGTCCTGGAGGCGGCTGGAGCCATTGCTGCCCACGATGGGGATCTGGGCCTTGTCTGGGTGCAGCGGCTGGACCTCAAGCCCGTCTTCAGGGGATGGAGCTATGGTGGGGGCATAGCGCCCAGTCCGGTGCTCCAGGAGGGCGGGGCCCCAATCTCTACTTGGCTTTGTGGCATTTTTCAAACGCTGTGTGAGAGGCAGGTAGGTATAGGAAGCCAGGCCTGTTAGGAGGGCCCTTGGCTCCCAGCCCTCACCCCCTCCCACCCCTGCTCAGCCTGTCCCATGTCTCACCTGGAGGAAGCTGTCGCCATCTGTGCGGCAGAGCTGGAACAGGGCGTAGAGGGGAATGCAAATGACAGAGGACAGAGCCATGAGGAAGCCGATGGCCACAGCCCAGCCTGGATACTGGTAGTCGTTGTAGGTGATTGGTTGGTACTGGATCACCGTGAAGATGAGAATGAACTAGGATCGAGGTGGAAATGGGAGAAGAGTGGGGCTCATTACCTGGCCTCAGGCCATCCTTCCTCTCCCCGTACAAACTAGAAAGAGACATGAGCAGAGCAGGGTGGAAGAAACAGGTATAGCCAGGGGTCTAGGGCCTGATGGGCAGGTCAGCGTTGTGGTAGGTTAGCTATGTTCACTGTGGTTATAGAACAGCCCAGGAACAATCAGCCTGCTGGCAACTTTGCAAGTCAGTTCTACTAATAGGTTTCTGTTACACCCAGCATTTTATACCCTCTTGTCAAGATTTTAGATGATCTTCTTTTGTATCTTCCTCTGTTAAATACTATGTAAACGCCACCTCCTTCAGGAAGCCTCTCTGGATTTTTCTTTCTTCAAAGGGCCTCTCAATGGCCATTGCCTATTTGCTTCTCTTAGAATTACTTTGTTTACTGTTTCCTTAAAATACTGTTGCATTGGGGAAAAAAGCTGTCAAGGACCTACCCAAAGTGCTAAAGAGCAAGGATATTAAAGACTAAAGTGCACCTGATTCAAGCTATGCACTTTTCATTTGCTTTCTATGCATTTGAAAGTCTGATGATGAATAAGGAAGACCAAAGAAGAATTGATGCATTTAAATTGAGGTGTTGGAGAAGAGTTTTGAATACATCACAGATTAACAAAGAACAAATCTGTCTTGGAGGAAGTGCAATCAGGGTGTTCCTTAGAGGCAAGGACGGGGAAACTTCATTGCACATACTGTGGGCATGTTATCAGGAGTCGTCCTTCGAAAGACATCACCCTGGGAAAGGTGGAGGGTCAGCAAGAGAGAGAAGACCCTCAACAAGCGGGACTGACGCAAGGACTGCACCAGTGGGCTCCAGTACGTCGAGATCATAAGGGGCACACAGGACAGAGGAAAGTTCAGATTTGTTCCTAGGGTCACTATGTGCAGCAACAACAGAACATGTTCCCTGTGGAGTCCCTGGGTGGTGCAGATAATGTGCTGGCTGCGAACCAAAAGCTTTGAAGATTGTGTCCTCCCAGCGGTGCCTCAGAAGAAAGGCTTAGTGGTCCACCCTGTGGGGTGCAGTTCATGCACACACATGGGGTCACCATGTATTGTAGTCGACAGTAAAAGGGGAAGCGGAGTTTTCTCATAGACTAGGAGCTCCTGGGATTGCATCAGCCCAAAATGTCCATAGTCCAGATGGGTGTCTTGTACATTTGTTAGTGTGAAGTACCAGGTTGGAGGTGAGGGTAAGACCCTGCCTGCCTATAGTTGTGGAGAGAGTGGCAGATAGCCTGGGAGGGTACAGAAGCTCAAAGTGGTGTCAGGCAGGGATTGCAGTAGGAAGCCACTTTGGCAAGAGATGAGTGACGTGGAAGGAACAAAACCTGCAGCAGCAGTGACAGGAGGCACTAAAGCAAACAGAAGGGTGGGCAGGTGGTACACAAGCTGCCTGAGAGTCTAGGGGAGCCCCGGGGGTGGGCACCCTCCTGAGTGTCCCTTTGCACCCTGGAGCTCAGGCCCCCGGCCTTCCTGGTGACTGAGTTCTTGAAAACAAGGCCTGAATTTAGCTGGGAATACCCCTCTACAGGAGGCTGCACGTAGGGTCGAAGGAGGGCTGGTTCAGGATTGTAAGTGGATCCTGACTAAGGGTGGACAAACTCCCTTTTCCTCTTAGTTGAGCTGACAAAAAGAATTGGCAAAAAGTGGTTTCCAGAAATACACCCACTGCCCCAATGCATCAGCCCGGAAGCATGTGCTCACAGAACCTGACTCCCTTGCTGCTGGGTTTGTTTTTATGGTTTGGGTTGTTTTGCTTATTTTTTTATTTATTATTTTTCTTGCTCTTGCAGGGTCAGACCCCATTTCATGCCTGCAGCCCACTCTGAGAGCCAAGATGCCCAGAGAGTCGGCTGCAGCCACGTGCCTCAGAGGGCAGAGGCAGGCGGTGGTGGTGTGGGCAGTACTGGCCTTCCACCGTTTACAGGAGGCTTGTGCTCCTCCTGCTTCAAAGCTGGGCCAGTAGCCAGGGCTGGTGTCTGTGCCAGGTTCGAGGAATATCCCACACCTCATGTGGAGGCCTCAGCCCTCTAGGGGCCTCTTATCCAGAAACATGAGCCAAAGTGAAAAAGCCTGGTGCTAAGTTTGCAGCAGAGAGCCATCAGCTTGGCTGGAGACACTGCCTCAGCTGGGCGGACTCCTCTGACCCTGGGAGGGGGCCCCACCTCTTCTCTGTGGTGTGTGATCATCACACTATCAGCTCCTTTCTCAACCCCACCCGGCACATGGGGGAGCAAAATCAGATTGTTTTTAGCTAATGGACCATCCCTTCTTCCAGCACAACTGTCTAGTGTAGCCCTGGCACAGCACACTGGTGCCAAATTGGACAGCCTGCTTCAAACCAAGCCTCAATAGCTCACTTATTAGCTGTGCAACTTTGAGCCAATTAACATCTCTGCACTTCAATTTCCTCATCTGTAAACTGGACAATAAGAGCTCAGAGAGTGATAGTAAATGAATCAGTATGATCCAATGTACAGAAAGTTGTCCATAGTGAGCGCTCAGTACAGTTTAGTTGGCATCAAAATCTACTTCCTTTCATCATACTAATTCCCTCCGCCAAGACAGCTCCCTGACAAACCAGAAACAACTCATAGCAACCTATAGGGGCAGAGCAGAATGGTCCCCTTGGGATTCCAAGGCTGTAAATCTTTATGGAAACAGAATGTCACGTCTTTCACACATGGACATATTGGCCAGTTCAAACTGCCAACTTCTCCATGAGCAGCTGAGTCCCTTTGGCTCTAAGAGTTCCCCAGCTGCGGAGTAGCCTTGGCTGCTCCTCCTTTCTCAAGTCAACCCACTCCACTTGCAGGAAGGCTTGGGAAGTTATCCCTGATCCCTCGGCTGCTTCTGGAGCATTCAACACTGACACGACAGACACTGAGCTCCTCCACTGGGAGGAATCTGAGGAACTCAGCAAGGCAGATAAAGGTTGACACCACATTAAAAAATGATTCCTGACACCACATAAAAAATTCCCCAAGTCCCTCTGGTGATGCTAGGTGGGAACGCCAGGTGGAGCCTGAGGGAAGCAGCATAGCGAGCCTCAGCCACTGCCAGTCTGCTTTCCGCGGAGGCCAGAACCTAGGTAATTGTGAGGCTTCCACACTTCACTGACTCTGTGCAGCCTTTCTCTGTCAGAGGCAAAAGTGGGTATAGACCCCCACTGTGAGTCCTATCAGAGGAATGGGCTCTAGCTGTGCTTCCACTGGCCCTGAGGAGAACAGGATGGCCAAGGAGCAGCAGGGGGAAGGAGGGGTCCACTGAGGAACTCACGAAGATGATAGCTGGTGAGACAAAGCGCCAGCAGATCTGGAAGAAGAGGGGCGGTGGGAATCCCAGCATCATCTGGATGTCCTGGAAGTAGTTCTGGTGCCCTGTGGAGAGGGGAGCCAGTGACAGAATGGGAAGCCAGGTCCCAAGACATAGAAAAAGCCCAGAGAGACTGGAAACTTACCGTAGATGTACATGATGGACACACACATGATGCATGAGATGACCACCAAGGAAAAGCTGGCCGCATAATTGTCCATCAGCAACAGCCAGTAGATGCCTGCCTGTGGGCCAGTGGGCAGCTGAGCCGTGGCGCTTGGGTCCGAGGCTCTCCCCGCTCCCATCTCTCTGCTCACTGCCTGGTACATCCGGCCCAGTGCTGGGATCACCTCCTACCTGACTGGTGAGGGGGATGCCCAGCAGGAAGCCCGCCACAGCCACACCCAAGGTCACGTAGATCTTCTTCTGCAGGATCCACTCATTCCCCACCTCATCCACGATGGCCGTGACCAGTGTCTCCAGGAGGCAGAACTGCAGGATTCAGCCATGAGAGGAGGGACCCAGCCTCGGCCCGGGCCTCCTCCCTCCCACGCTGCCGGCCCACAGCCCACGGCCCACACCTCGTACCTGAGTGCCCAGCCCCAGTAAGATGAGCATGAAGAAGAAGAGCAGGGACCAGAGAGGAGAGATGGGCAGCAGGGTGAGGGCCTCGGGGTAAGCCACAAAGGCCAGGCCAGGGCCGTGGTCTGCCACTCGGGACACATCTACACCCAGGTGGTTGGCCATGAAGCCGAGGATGGAGAAGATGACAAAGCCCGCATAGACACTAGTGGCACAGTTGGTGATGCTGATGATGACGCTGTCCCTGATGGGGAGAAGAACAGAGCTCGGAAGACCCAGGTATGGACCTCTTCTGAGCTGGACCAAGAGGAGACTGGGGAGAGAAAGTTCTAGAGCGAAGTTGCCCCACTCCTTCTGCTGTGCCTTGGCCCTTTCTAAGTGAGCCTGCGGTGACTGACTCCTCAAACACCTCCGGGCCATCACTGTCCCTGTCCCTCCTCTCTCTCTGGACAATGCTTCTCTCTCCATTCTCCAGAGACTCGATCCAGATCCTGTGTTCCAGAATGCTGAGGCATGAGTGGAAAGGGGAGGGCTGGGTGGGCCAGGAGGCTGCACTGGAGTCCACTGGGTCTGAGGGAGCCATGTCAGGCTGTGGCAAGGGCAGCGGGTGGGGGCCACCACAGAGCTGGCCAGGAGAGGCTTACCGGTAGCAGTTGTTGTGGAACTTGTTGTAGGAAGCCATAGTGATGAGTCCTCCCCAGGCACATCCCAGGGAGTAGAAGATCTGGGAAGCTGCATCCCCCCACACCTGCAGAGAGCCATGAGCGGCCAGGAGCTGTGGTCAGTGGCTCAGACTTCCCTGGCTTGCCTCTGTCCCCTTTTCAGCCCCCTCTGCATGCCCACCTTAGCCTCCAGGATCTTGTCCCATTGTGGGGTCAGGTAGTACATGATGCCAGTGAAGGATCCTTCCAGAGTCACGCCTCGGACGAACAAGATGGTCAGCACCACATAGGGGAACGTGGCCGTGAAGTACACGACCTGGATGCAAATGGCGCCATTGACTTTTACTCATACCTTCTGTGGATCCTCTCTTCCCCTGGGTGTCACCTCCCTCCCCACAATCCAGAAAGCAGAGCCAGGATCTTTCTGATGGGCACAGACCCGAGGGGGATGGGTACTTGCTTTCCCTGAAGACTTGACCCCTCGGATGAGGCAGAGGAAGACGACCACCCAGGAGACGCCAAGGCAGCCAAGGAGGGGCAGGCGCACCTCCCCGAAGTTCCCGATGTCACTGGACAGCTTTAGTACATAGAGCCTGGGGAGGGGAAGACTGTGACTGAGGGCCGCCCCTCCACCCGCTTGCAGATTCCCAGGGCCCAGCCTGGCAGCAGCTCCTTTCTTATGAAGTTGCAGCAACCCAGCTGGCATTAGACGAAACTTCTGACAAGGCCTCAGAGAGCCTAGCTACCAGCCCAGCTGCAGCCCACTGGGAAAATGTCCCAAGTCCACTGTCCCACTGCTTCCCCAGTGTGATGCCTGTGTGTCTCTGCTTGGGCCCAACCCAGTCCCTTGTTGGTGAGGCCTCCTCTTCAGGGGTACCTCCTCCAGGAAGCTTTCTAGGCTGCTTTGTCTCCAGCTCCAGGTTAACAGAGGGAGGCAGCAGAGTGCCCAGAGAGGCTCTGGACGGGGCTCGATCCCTAATCCCTATGACAATCCCTGTCTCTGTCAGGAGTCCTGATGGCTCAGTGTGGAATGCATCAGGCTGCCAACTGAAAGATCAGCACCGAAAGCTCACTGTTCTTTGGGAGAAAGATGGGTCCGCTCCTCCCACAAAGACTTACAGCTTCAGAGGCCTAGCAGAAGATCAGTAAGGGTCCACCTCGACTCAATGGCAGTGGACTGGTGAGTGTGACTTCGTGTGGCACTCTGTCATGACAGCTGTGCTTTTCATTAACATGCCGTTAACTGAGCCAGCGTACACCTCGTCCTAGAGGAGGTGCCATCTCAGCCCTAGGAGGGCCCAAAGGGAAGCTGGAGGGCTCCCCAATTTGGCTGTGATGTGAGGAGGGGGTCTAGGGAGTGGCATGGGCAGAAGGCTTCCAAGAAGAGGTAAGGCTTGAGTGAAAGTCTGAAGAACAAGCAGGCTATGGACAAAGGAGTGGAAGCTAACAGCTAGGAACTCTGTGTGGTGCTTCCTTTCATACACTGGGCTCTATTTGAAGTTGTGGGTTTTTTTTTTCAAATTTCCCCCTAAATCAGCTCTCAAAGCCCATGAAAATATTTTCCTACCCTGTGATAGGATGTTATTGTTACAGGATAAGTATCATCAGTCTTGACATTTGGTGCTTACTTAGAAGCAAGCACCTTATGTGGTCTCTTCTCTGCCTAGCTCATTTGCCATTCACTCCATGGCCTCCAGAGGGCACTGTCCAATACGTCCTGACCCCTGCCGGCAGCTGTTCATTCAACAGGTTTTTAGTTATGGGAGTGGGGTGGGTGTTCATTCAACAGGGTTTTAGTTATAGGAGTGGGGTGGGTGTTCATTCAACAGGTTTTAGTTATGGGAGTGGGGTAGGTGGGCTGATATAAAGGATGGGTGACTTCCAGAAGCTCTAAGGCTGTGGGGATTCGTCTCCTGGTCTCCTTCAGCAGCGTGTTCTGACCTTTTTATTTTTTCATTTATGGAACACTTAAGAAAAAAGAATTTGTGTGTGTGTGTGTGTGTGTGTCCTGATAGATAAATAGGCACTCAGCAGAATTTTATTGGGCTGGAAGCTGGGATATCCAGACATCGTCCTACTGGGACCATCCTTGCTTCCCACCATTGAGCTCCGCTTCCAGGACAGCCAGAGGGTCTCCTGCTGCTGCCACTGAGATTACTTTGTGTACCAGCATTCAGGGTAAATAAACCATTTATTGTTAAAGGACTTGGTATGTGTGTTTTCCTTTGTCTAAAGATATGTTCGATAGGTAGTGCTTTACATACACGTGTTGGACAAAGTGCAACCTGGGTACCCCTGAGAGGCAATGATGGTGGAACTCCGCCTCACATACTGTGGGCATGATGTCAGGAGGGGCCAGTCCTTGGAAGGTGAAGGGTCAGTTAAAGAGAGGAAGACCCTCAACAAGACGGACTGACACAGTGACTGTAACAATGGGCTCAAGGATGTCAGAGATGATGTGATGGCATGGGATAGGACAGAGTCAGATCCATTGTTCAGAAGGTCATTAGGAGTCAGAGCTGATGTGATAACACCTAACAACAAAACATATGTATATATGTGTGTATTATTACATACATGTGTTTATATGTATAATTACATAGATACATATATGTATGTATGTAGGGAGCTCTGGTAACCTAGTATATAGGAGTTTATCTGCCAACTCAAAAGACTGACAGTTCGAATCCACCATCTGCTCCTCAGGAGAAAGAAGGGAAATCTCTTCCCTTGTGATTTACAATCTCTGAAAATCCACTGGAGGGTCAGCTGTGAGTTGGTTCCATCTTGATGGCAGCGAGTTTGAGGTGTGGTTTTTTTAAAATTTTAGTGTGTGTGTACCATCAAATCGGATCTGACTGGTACAAGAGGAGATTGTCCCTCCTTCTCCAGTAGAGCATCTGGTGGATTCAAACCACACACTTCTGGAGTTTGAGGTTTTTTAAGAGGTACACTAAGGCGAGCCTGATACAGGTCATGGTCTTTGCAATCACTTGCTATGCCTCAGAGAGCTGGACAACGACTAGGGAAGACAGAAGGAGAATTGGAGCTTTGAGCTGTGGTGCTGGAGAAGAGTATTGAATATACCATGTACTGCTAAGAGAACAAACAAATTTGTCCTGGAGAGGGTGAAGCCAGGCTGCTCCTTGGAGGCAAGGATTCTAAAGCTTTGTTGGACATACTTTGGGCATGTTGCAAGGCGGGATCAGTCCTTGGAGGGGGATGTCATGCTTGGGAGGGTGGAGGGACAGCGCAGGAGAGGAGGACCCTTGATGAGATGGATTGATTCAGTCAATGGGGTAATGGGGATTGGCATGTCAGAGACAATAAGATTGGCAAGGGATAGAGCAGGGTTTAGGGCTGTTGTACATAGGGTCGCTATGAGTTGAGGTGACTCGACGGCACATAACAAAAACAACAAACAACAATAACATATATGTATTGCTGCAGGAGTACAGTACTGTAATACTAAGGACTAAGTAGCCTAGCAGGCTAGCCGAGGAGCCAAATAATTCTATCTGTATTTTTATGGGACACATTTACTTTCTTGTTTTGTTTTTGGTACTGTTTGTTCTTAAGATAAAACAACCTAAGAACTTTTAGAACTTAATACGTTTATAAGTTGCCTCTTAGCGCATGACATCTCTGCAATGATCTTATTTTCCATCTCTTCATATAAATAGGTTTTATTTTCCCAAGCAGATGGTGAACATCTTGAAACTAGAGCCCACTGCTTTCCTTCTTTGCATCCTCAGCAGTGCCTGTCATTTTACTGACTGAGCACCTGTCTCTGTTCTTAGTGATTTGTGTTACATTATCTCATTCCATTCTTAAAACGTCCCAATAAGACAGGTATTGCCTGCTCCCCCATCTAACAGATGGTACAGTTGAGACTTAGAGAGGTTTGGTAACAACCTCCAAGGCCAGATGGCTGGGAAGTGGCAGAGCCAGAATTTGAGTGAGTCTTTGCGAGAACAGAGTTGTTTAACCACCACGAAGACAATGAGGGTGGGCGTGCTTGGATCTGAGTCCTGTTGGGTGGTGTGTGCTGTGCTGGGCACCACAGTGGCTGTGGAGATGACAGTGATACAGTTACATAGTTAGGAGTTTAAGGCTTAATATCAGGAATAAGATCAGTACACAGAAGACTGTAAAGTAAGTTAGTGGAGGGGTGGTGAGGGAAATGGAAGGGGAAGGAGGACCACGGGTCAGAAGAGTGAGGGAGAGGCAGCCAGAAATTTGCCAATTGACCTCTTCTTGTCTCAGGAATTCACATGATACATATTTTGCATTGCTTGCTTTGTCTGTAGAGTAGGAATTCCCTGCACAAGCTACCTAACAGGGCTAGTGTTAGGGAGCTCGAATGAGATCATGCAGCTTTTTAAAGGAGCAATGGAGAGCGCGAACCAGAAGCACCTGCAGATCATCACAGGTTTAATTCACAACAAGCACACCAACCACAGAGGAGCATAAAGTCAGATGACTTCAAGAGCAGACATATCCTGGCCAACTATCGCTGGCCAGCACTTAACCTGAGCATCTGTCTTTGAATCTGATAACTAGCGATAATAATGTCTATAGCCAGGTACCACGGCTAGCACACAGGCATTCAAGAGCTTGATGAAGTCAATTTGGGTAGCGATCGTTAAGAGGCAGATCGTAGGCTTTCCAGGAGGGGGCAGCAGGGAGCCATCTTGCCCAGGACTGCAGGGAACAGGTAGTTGGGCAGGCCGGGTTCCAACTTCTGCGGAGTCAAGTTTAACTGTCTGTGCCATGGAGGGTTTTCCTTCGCCAAAACTTAACTCAGGTGAGGCTGGTGGTTCCCAACAGCCTGTGTAGTCTCTGTCCACAAGTAATAATCTCTCCACACCGAGAAACCGAATGGGTCCTAAAGCAGCAGATTGCTTGGCTGTGATTAGCAGGGGTCCGAGCTCTGACCCCCAGTCCGCTCCTGCCCATTCCACTTCCAGAGGTCACCCTGGCTTATCCTGCTAATGCCCTATGGGACTTGGTTTCTCTGGATCTGCTTTAGGGGTGCCATGATTTCAATGGATAAAATCACCTGAGATCTTGGCCTTCAGAAGCTCCATAGCCCCTGGAACTCCTGGTAGATGACCCCTGGAGCAAAGGCCACTGGGGCATCTCAGGGGTGTGGACAGGACTTTGTGGGTATAGGGAAGGTTCATCCATGTCTAGGTCAAGTTGCTCCTCCACACCGTGCACAGATGGAGTTTTTGTTGTTATGTGTTGCCGAGTTGCCTGCGACTCATAGTGGCCCTATGCACAACAGCTCTGAAGGCTGCCCTGTCCTAAGCCAATCTCACTGATTCTGACACATCTATCCCCATCGCCCTAGTTACTGTATCAATCCATCTCATTGGGGTCTTCATTTTCTGTACTGCCCCTCCATTCTTCTGAGCATGATGTCCTTCCACAAGGATTGGTCCCTCCTGGCCACGTGCCCAAAGTATATGAGACAAAACTTCAAAATCCAAGCCTCCAAAGAGAAACTTGGTTTCACCCTCTCCAAGAAAGACCTAATTGTTTTCTTGGCGGTCCACGGTATTTTCAGGACTCCTCTCCAGCACCACAACCCACAGGCATCAGTTCTTCTGTCTTCCTTAGTCATTGTCCAGCTCTCTGATGAATAGTAATTACGAAGACCATGGCCTGGATCAGATGCACCTTATTGTTGTGTGCCGTTAAAGTGGGAACTGACAATTGACCTTTCAGCGGGCTTTCAGAAGACAGTAAATCACATGGGACTTGACTGCCCATCTTTCTCCTGCGGAGCAGCTGGTGGATTCAAACCATGGGTCTTTGGGTTGGCAGTGCAGCTTCTTATCACTAGGCCACCAGAGCTTAAAATACCTAAATACCTAAAAGGGGCACTATTTGCTTAGTTCAACCATGTGGTGTGAGTTTCATGAGGGCCATGTCAGTGTCTTCTCCTCACTCTATCTCTGCTTTACAGAGTTTGCTATTTAGAAAGGATCTGTCCAGGCACTGAGTCTGCTGAGGCTAATCTTGCCGTCCTCTCAGTCAGCTAGTTTCATCCCCATCTATTGTTTCATCTACACAGTGAACCGTAAGGTTAGTGACTGTCTTACCCGTCTCTTCTGTGCGTAGTTCAGCACAGAAGCTGGCTCAGGAAAGCTCAGTCCTTTGGAGTTTAGGTTCTCAAACCTCAGCGCTTCTGAGAAAAGAGCTTTCGTGGCGTAGCACGTGACATGTGAGCGCTAACCGAAAGGTTGCTGCCCTGCGACAGGAAGATGAGTCATCTCTTCCCATAAATATTTACAGTCTTGGGAACCTGACGAAGGGTTGCCATGAGGTGGAAGTGACTTGAAAGCAGTGGATTTCTGGTTATGACCGTGAGAAGGAGCCTTGGTGGTGCAGTGGTTAAGAGGGCAGCTGCTAACTGGGGTGGTCGTTTGAATATACCCAGCTGCTCGCTCTACAGGAGACCCTACAGGACAGAGTAGGACCACCTGTAGAGTTTTCAAGATTTTTTTCAAGATTTGCAAATTTTCATGGGAGCAGAAACTTATAGAACAGCTGGTGGGTCTAAACTGCTGACTTTCCAGCAGAGTGCTTTAACCACTGTACCATCACCCTGATGGGACAGTGCTACTAGGTTGCATGGATTTATTATAAGTTGAAATGGACTCAGTCACACCTAACAACAATAACATGACTTGAGAAACCCTTGCATCTCACCACAGGCTTTTCATCCCACAGTGCTGTCTGTCAGGTCCATGGGCTTGGCTTGGGCAGCCCTGTAGTCAATGTCCCACCACCAGGTCCACTTTGCTGCTTTCTGGCCTCTTCTTAATTGTGCGTGTCTCCCCCTCTCCTCTACAGTCTGCCCCTCTCCTCCCCTAGGAAGTTTTCCTGACTACCTCCTCCTGTCCCTACGTCCTTAGTACTGACCAGTACCCACTTTGTGCTCCCACCCGCCCCTCCACTAATCTGGTTACTGTCTCCCCATTGGACTGGGAGTTCCTCAGGGCAGGCTGGATGTCAGTCCTACCCCTCATGAGCACACAGGGCTGGCATCTACATGTTTTTGCAATCAATGAACCAGGCCTACCCGACACCCTCCAAGCCCTGTGTCCATGTCTAGTCCCTCCATACAACTGCTATCTGGTTCCCCAACAGGACATGAGGAATTTCCTCTAGGATGTCCTGCCGTTTCCCCACACCCACTCGGTTAGGACGAGGTGTTCTAGAGCACCTCCAGCAACGCTTCCCTTCAGCTGGCCCGAGGCTCTGATCTCTTTGGCACCACTGAGCACAGGGCAGCCAGACTATGTTTCCCAAGGGCAGCTGATCACACACTGCTGGGCTTAGGAAGTGTCCATGGCTTCTGTCCTGGAATTAAATTGAAGCATAATTCCTACAGGAGCTCTAAGTAGGACTTGCTTCCTTCTACGACACCTCATGGGCCATCAAATTGCCCAGCACCTGTAGGCCTCTGGCCCAGCCTCTGCTCCTCTGGCCTCCAGTGCCTTCGTTCACGCTGTTCTTCTCCCCAGGATGCCATACTTCTTTCTCCCTGAGTCTAGATTGAAGGCTTGTCTCATTCCTGCTTCTTTGTAAATACTCACCGACTCAATGCTCCACCTTCCATTGCTCTGCATATGTGAGCCTCTTCTAAACCACATCATAAACTTCTGACACCTCTCCACCCTGCTTCTACTCCACCCGCTCTGTGCCCAGTGGTGGGTAGTGTGCTGAGGGCTGGCACCCCGCTCCTCCCCCTGGGCCAGGGTACCTCACCTCCAGTATTCCTCACTGGGGCTGGTCCTCTGGAAGGTGTGGTTGAGCAGGTGGGAGAAGTTGTTGGTCAGGACAGCAGGCCAGGACCCATTGGTGAGGTTAGTGGCGTCCAGCACGCCGGTGCAGTCAGGCGTGTTCCATGGGTTATTGCAGTAGGCCCAGGGCAGCACGTGTGTCATAGATGAGAAGAAGTAGTAGAAGGCGATGCAGATGACCACGTTGTAGTAGATGCCGATGTACGTGGACACCACCATCATGCCATAGCCCACACCTGGGGGAGGGCGGGGACAGCAGTCAGAGATGGTTGGAGGCAGCTGTGGGAGGGGGCATCCTCACGCAGCGAGACGGAAGAGGTGAGGTTAATCGTTTCTGAGGATCCAAGGGACAGGCTTTGATGGAGGGCCATGGAAGGGATAGGTCATGGCCTTGGCAAGGACAAGCTGAGAGCAGAAGTGCTTTGTGTGTACACGTGGTGGGAGGAGAGGGTGGAGGCCAAGTAAACATGGATCTCAGCATGTCTCCGTGACCTTGGCCATTGATGTAGGGCTTGGGGTCAGCACTAGGGCTTCACAGGGATCAGCAGTGTTTGTACAGATGGGTGGGTCGGCAGGGCCCCCAGGGGCCCACGTGTGACGGCTCCACCCAGGCCTCACCTTTGAACATGGGGCTGATCTTCCAGACACCCAGGCAGCCCTGGCTTGCAAACTGGCCAAAGGAGAGCTCCATGAAGAAGAGAGGGATCCCGCAGAACACCAGCATGATGAAGTAGGGGAACATGAAGGCACCTGGCGCATGGGGAGAGGCCTGACTCAGGGGCGGGTTTGGGGGATCCCACTTTGGGCTTCCTGCGTAAGCCTAAAAAAAACCTTCATTACTGGGTAGGTCCTGAGGAAGTACGTGCCAGGCACTAAACAGGAGTCCTGGTTCCAAGTACAGTGCTCCAAGCCTGTCTCTGAACCTGACAGAGGCTTCCAAAAGCATGCTTTGAGCAGAACCCAGCCCCTTTCTCGATTTTCAGAGAAAAGTCACCCTGTTTGGGTGGGATTTGATAGTTTAACCAAGCAATTTCACAAACAAAAGTTGCTAGGATCCTTAAATACCCTAGAACTATTTATAGGATTGTTGAAGCCCAGGGGATATAAAAGGGAACCCCAGGAGGGGGTGCTGTTCTCCACCTCTCTTTTCTCAAGGGAGCCGCCTGGCACAGCCAGGCCCAGATGGGCAGACTGCCAGGGGAGAGGGGCAATCTATGCCTTAGGCACAGGGTACCCAAGATAGGGATGGGAGTGATGGTGATCTGGGCCACAGGTCAGGTCTGTCTGCTAGAGAGAGTGTGCTCCAGGTCCTGGTGGGTGAGGTCTACCCAAGTGGTGGTCCCTGCCCTGTGCCCACTGGGTACCTCCCCCGTTGCGATAGCAGAGGTATGGGAAGCGCCAGACATTGCCCAGGCCCACGGCATAGCCCACGCTCGTCAGTACAAACTCGATCTGGTTGCCCCAGTTGCCTCGTTTAAGGTTCTGGTCCCTCTTGGTGGCCTCGCTGGGCACAGCACCATTCTGTGGGGACAGGAAAGAAGCTACCATCAGCAAGGCATTTGTGCTCCCGTGTCTGACCCTCTGGGCCGCCTCAGTGGGGACACTCTGGACGCTCCAAGCCCCTACCCCTTTTCTGGGCTTCCCTTCTGCTGGCAGGAGCCACGAGCAGCCCTGGCAGAGGAGGGCAGAAGGAAGGGGCAGCTGCCAGAGGGTGCCAAGCGGGCCTCCCTCCTCAGCCCCCTAGCTGCTGTGCCAGGAGCACCAGTCCCACCTGAAGACCCGATGTTAATCTCTGAGATGGGCTCTGAGGAGGCAGTGAGGTCTCAGAGGCCCCAGCCCAGCCCTCTCAGCGCCCCCTTTCCCCCTGAGGAAGGATCTGGGCGCAGCTGAGCTTCACAGCAAGCAGCCAAGTCAGGCCAGGCACAAAGGGGCCTGTGTCCAGACGGACCCCCCCCACTGCCACCTACCACATCGCCAGGCTGAGCACGCTGCCCACGGGCAGGCGGCTGTGGGGAGGGGATGTCAGGCCCTTTCCCTGCCCAAGATTCCCTCCTGGAGGACTCGGGGGCAGAGGGTTGGCTAGGCTGGATGAGGAAGCAGAGGAGTTGCTGAGTTGGACCATACCTCAGGAGGGGCTTCTGGGGTTCAGCATGAGAACCTACCGATACAGTCCTGGGCTGGTGAAGGGGCCTAGGAGGGCTGACCTGGGTCACGGGGCCATGGCTAGGGGGTGCTGGGCCATGAGCTGTGACAGGAGACCAGAGCTGGAGACACCACCCAAACCTTGAGGGCAGACTGAGAGGGGGAACACCCTGGAAGGTTCCTCTGAGTAGAGAGAGGGTGGACATCATGGTTGAGAGCAGCTGATGAGGAAATTCCCTCCAAGGAAAGGACGCTAGAGGCAAGGGAGGGACGTAGATGGGACAGGCTCTTCCTCTTGCTGATTGGGGGGCCAGCAGGGCCTCACCCAGGAGACACAGGGACCTGAGAGTCACCAACAGAGAAACACAGGGAAGTCTGGGGTCACAGTGATACTGGGGCCTACAAGTCACCAACAGAGAAATACACGGAGATCTAGGGTCACAGTGATACAGGGACCCAAGAGTCACCCACAGAGAAACACAGATCGTCCTGTGGTCACAGAGACAGCCTCTCAGAGGGACACTTCCCTGAGAGAGAAACAGGCAGGTCCCTGAAGGAGACCCCAGAGCAAAAAAGGGGTTGGATGGCCTCTGAGACTTAATGATGAGGTGACACCAACCCTTAGTCTAATTGTTGTTGTTGTTATGTGCTGTTGAGTCACCTGCGACTCATAGCGCCCCTATGTACAACAGCCCTAAACCCTGCTCTAGTCTAAAGAGAGATATTCCAGGACAATGATCACAAGCCAATACACAAGGCAGCCTGCTGCTTTGAAGTGGTGTAAAACCCAGCACTCACATGCAAGGCTCAGAGCGTTCCAAAAAAGTCTGTTTTGGACCTGACAAAGGAGGCACCAATGCCTGGTGTAGGCCCCAGCATTGTCCCCTTGCCCCAAGGTGTGCCCATTTTGGCCCGTTGGGCATCACAGTTTAGACAGCCAACAAAAATCTTACACATGCAATCCAGTAAATACATCCAAGCACACATGGCCCGGCAAACCCCTCTGGGAGGTTTGGGAGCACAGTTCCAGGAATGGTGGGGTCCCCTTCAAGGAGTTCCTACAGGAGCATGACAAGCAGAGCCAGCCTTCCTTAAAGCAACAGCAGAAATTCATTGGTGCCTACAATGTGTGTGCCCAGCCCTGCAACAGACAGTGGGGATGCAGCAATGAACAAAACAGTATCTACTCACTCTGAGTTTGAAGCCTAGTGGGAGAGCAAGCCATCAACGAAAAAGACAAACACATCATTTTATATGCAATTTCAGGGTGATCACATGGAGACTTCAAAGTTACAAGAAGATAGACAGGCAAAGGGAATGAGTGAGGGCAGGGAAGGCTTCCCTGGTGAAGGTGCGTAAGGACATAAGGGAATAAACCGGTTTAGCTCTGGGAGAGGGAGCCTGATGTTGTGCCTTGTGACATCCTCCTACAGACCTCTGCCTGGTATCACCTACTGCCAGGCTGCTCCTTGGAGGCAAGGATTCTGAAGCTTCATCTGACATACTTTGGACATACTGCAAGGAGGGACCAATCCTTGGAGAAGAAGGACGTCATGCTTGGGAGGGTGGAGGGACAGCACAAGAGAGGAAGATCCCTGATGAGATGGATTGATTCAGCGACTGGGGTAATGGGGGTAGACATTGTCAGAGACAATAAGGTTGGCACAGGATAGAACAGGGTTTGGGCTATTGCACATAGGGTCGATATGAGACTCAGGCGATATCGATGGCACATAACACCACCACCACCACCACCACCACCTAACTGCTAGGACCTCCTTGGGGATCAACAACAATAGAACTGACTCTACAGTAGGTGTTCAGAGCCCGAGAATCACATGGGGGAGATTGCCTGCCTTTCTCTGCACAGCAGCTGGTAGATCTGAACCACCCGCCTTTGAGTTAGCAGCACAACTCCTTACCCTCTAGGCCAGCAGGGCATTCAGGGTCACAGGGCCATTTTCTCAGGGTGTGAATGGCCTGCTTGGAATGGTTTATCGGTTCCTAAGCAAATCCTAGCTGCACAGGGTTCCTCCTTGTTGACCAGACAGCAACAATGGTTCGAGTCCAGCAGAGCTTGTGAGGATGGTGCACGATCAGGAAGGGTGTTGGTCTGTTGTAGGTGGAGTTGTTAAGAGTCAGAGTTGATTCAACTCTGATGGCACAGTGGTTAAAGCAGACAGCTGCTAACCAAAAGATTGCCAGTTCAAGCCCACCAGCTGCTCTGGAAGAAAAAGAGGTAGCAGTCCTTGTGTTGACCCTGTAGGATACAGCACACCTGCCCCGTAGGGTACATCACTATGGAAGCCGAATGTCACATCCTTTCCCTGCAGAGCAGCTGGTGGGTTCAAACGGCAGACGTCTGAGGTAGCAGCCAAGTGATTGATTATCCACTGCACCACCAGGGCTCCTGTACTGTGTCCTCACAGGGTCGCTCGGAGTCAAAGCAGACTTGACTGGCAACAGGTTTGAGTTTTGATTTATATGTTGACCCCACAATAACAGTTTTATTCTGGTCAAGGCTTGTTTACTTAGGGACACAATGGGAGATTGTAGCAGCCCCAGCGGACGTGGGTGGGGTCATGAAGCAGCAGTTACAGCTGTAAAAGAGACAACCACAGTCTAGGATGTCCCCAAGGCTTTAACTTCAAGGTCTCTCTCAGGGACAGACCCTTCTCCGTAACTGAGGGCAGGGACAGAGGGGTCTTTGAATCCTGTTCCTTCTCTGGCTTGGAGGGGGACAGGGAGAGAAGTGGTGTCGCCAGCCACATGCCACAAGCAACCGCCTGACAGCTCTCAAGAGCCAGCCCACTGCCCTTTAATGAGCTGCACACCACTGAGCCGTGAGCTAACCAGTTCAGCCACGCAGGCCGGAACATGTGCAGGCTGGGGCACGGGGAGCCAGAGCCCCCAGGACAGAGGTTGGGGGCGGGGGCTAGAGGTGGAGTTCTTGCAGGAGGCCACTGACACTAGGGGTCCACCTCACACAGGAGCCAGAGGTCAGTGAAACGATGCCCTGTAAGTGGAGCAAGATGCTGCTGGCAGAAGCAGTGCCCCTGGCCATGTACCTCAGCACCATGTACCTCAGAGCTGTGGGTTGGAGGGTGCAGCGAGAGCCTGTTCTGTCCTGGCGACCTCAATGCCCAGCTGAGAGCCAAGCAAGCCCGCCTTTCCCCGGAGGAAACGGGAAAGACTCAGAAATGCTCTCCTTCTGCAGGGATGTTCTGAGATCTCGAATTCACTTCTTTCTCTAACTCCCTTTGGGCCCACCCCCTATAATTTCCCCCAGAGGCAACTGGATGATTATCAGCCTATGGCTAGCAAGCCTTTTTCAGTGCTGCACACCATTGTCCATCTCATGTTGTCTTTCCTATTCCAAAAGGCTCTCATTTACCTGTTGGTGGGCAGCTGTGTCACTGATACTGACCGCTCCTGCAGTGGTCCCTGGATCTGAGGTGTTCAGGAAAGAACCCCTTTGTGCTCACAACCAGATCTAGACTGGCCGCCTGTCCGTCTAACTCGGCTCAGCCCCGGACTGGCCGGGCTCCCAGCTTCTGCCCATCACCCAGCGCCCACTGTCTGCCCCTTGCAGCTCGCTCTCCCTCCCTCTCCTGCTCACACCTCAGTGGTGGATGAAACGCTTCTGGCTTGTTTTCCCCTCAGGTTGGACAGACTGTGTCCTGCAACCCCTCTCAGGAACGCTGGGTGACCACTTCCAAGATAAAGTGGCCTCCACTCACCACTACCACGGGCCCCAGGGGTTACTGCCAGGACAGGTGTACCCAAGCTCTTCCATGTTACAGAGAATGGAGGTGTTGGGGTCTCATGGACCTTCTTCCATGACTGGGTGGGTGAGGGGGCTCTGATCATCTTCCAAACCTCCCTTGCCTCAGACATATACACACAAAAGAAGACCCTCAGATGTCCTCCTGCCTTTAGATTCCATCATTCATTAAGGAGACACTGAGGCAGCCGTGTCCATACCTGCACAGGACTGGTCTTTCTTGGGTTAACACGCCCTCACCCCGACTCCTGCCTAGCGGAGGGAGCCATGCTGAGCAGCCCCTTACGTAAGGGCTTTACATAGCCCTCTGCCCCAGCCTGGCCACTGCTCTGGATGAGCTCCTAGAATTAAAGCTGCTCAGCTCTGAGGGTAGAATCTGGATCTCCCAAGGTCCTTCACCGACACAGGACCTGCACTGGCGGTCAGAGCCCCGTTCTAGAGCCCGCTCCCCTGTTGACTCTGGGAGAGTTCCATCCACACTCAAATGTCCTCTAGGAAATCAGGAGGTAACATGCTATTCGGTGGTTCTGTCTCCCCTGAAATTTTCACTCTTTCCAACTCTTCCCTGTGTTTTCCATTCATTCCCATTAGCTTT